CTGTAGCTGGTGACGACGCAGTCTGTAGCTGGCGATGACGCAGTATGCAGCTGGTGATGACGCAGTATGCAGCTGGTGATGACGCAGTCCACAACTGGTGTTGACGCAGTCCCCAGCTGGTGATGACGCAGTCTGTAGCTGGTGATGACGCAGTCTGTAGCTGGTGATGACGCAGTCTGTAGCTGGTGATGACGCAGTAATGAGCGGAGAGCCGTGATGAGGTAATTTCGGGCAGCATGAAGGCAGGTGTTGACCAGAGTGCACCATTACCGATAATACTGACACATACCGACTCCAGCTGAACCGCTGTCTGACGAATTGCCATCGTTGCGACCAAACTAATTCCATTTAATTTAATATTGTATCAAGAGCTAATAAACACCTGGTGTTTATTAGCTCTTGATTGCATGTATGTGTACGTGCGTGCGTGCGCGTATATATATATATATATTATATATATATATATATATATATATATATATATATATACATATATATATATTCGTTTCGCGTCTTTTCAGATAATGATGTAGATGATTTTATTCCATCTCATTTTCTCACATCTTTAATTACGCGAAACTTTAAAGCTCGACATTTCATTATAGAAACATTTTAATTTGTCAGATTTAGATCAATTTACTGTTCGCTATAAAACGGTGACGTTAGTGGTAAAATGCCTTATAAATGTGAGCATAAAAGTGATTTTTTACCGCTTATTACTGTTTCGGTCTCACAGCACGATGGCGAATACGTAGCCTGTGTTCATGAAAATTTATTGAGTGTTTGTCAAGAATGAAGGTCACGACAACCACCGGCGATCAATGAGCATTAATCATTAAGCAGTTTTTGAAGGTCCAGCGGTGAAAACACTTTACATTACCCTATCGTAGATTCACGAACCGTAAAAAACCGCCTGCCTGTGTAAACAGTGTTAGGAAATTGTCAATACACCTGTAATATTTGCCGGCGAGTGCATATTTTCCTCTCTGCGCACAACAGCTGAATACCGACCGCTATCGAACGAGTTATTGCACGCAGCCAACTATCGTCGGCCCCCATCGTATAGGCCCCATATATATCAATACTCAGCCATTCACCACTTTACAGTAACATGCAGCGCAGCGGGATAGCTACGTATGCTGTTAACTCTAATAGCGACCCCTACTAGGCGCCTAGCTCGCACACACTGCATCCTCCATATATATATATATATATATATATATATATATATATATATATATATATATGTATATATATATATAATATCAGGAGTCTATCAATATTGATATATATATATTGATAGACTCCTGATAATATATACCAGCGAACAGCAGCAGCAGCTGGTGATGCGAGTTGACCTCTGCGCCACCGTCAACGACCGCGTGACAACGCCGCTAGATAACAACGGACAAACAAGAAACGACTCAAAAAAAGTTTCCATCACACGAACTGATATTTATTTCAGTTTACTCTCGTATAACGGTTGGGCGATCAGTCGCGTAATCACAAACACATAGCACGCAGCCGCGGCTTTCGTCTCACGATAGATGAAGCTATATAAACTTGTGCGTTGAATTTGAAAATGAATTAAATTCAAGCAAAGTTAATAATACTAGTAGTGTAGTAGTAATCATTATTATTATTACTATTATAACAATATTACTATTGTAATAATAACGAGATATTTACGATTATTAAGAAAACATTTAGTATGGATAGGTCTCATTATGTATATGTGTCTGCGCACGAGTGCGCGATCGTCGGGTGTATATGTGACAAACGATGGAGTTTGATTAATGTCAGATTTTGCGACCAGTAAGGTGAGCAATATCGATAAAGGCACGGTGTGCACGTATACTTATACCGAGACTAGGAATATATAGGATAATACACACGGATAACCGACACATAGAAGGCCGACAACCTACCTACCTTAAATTGGCTACGTCACGAATTTTCTATGGTGTATATTTGTAAAAATTTTGTTGCCATTTTTTTTTACATTAAAAGCAAGTACTAACGAGACTAAATTTATCGTCAAATTCTTACTTGATAAGATTGTTTCTCAACTATTTAAAAATAAAAAAACCCTGGACGATTGATATTATGATCCTGACATTAATTGCTTGCTATGGGCTATGGGCTATGTTTACATCGAACGGTACAGTACAACGAACAGTAAAATAAGAAGTATAATGCAGCAGTTTAACCATAAAAAGTGAACAGAATTACTTACATTTTGTGAAAAAGTCGAAATATTTTTTTTACTTTTACTATTTACGGTGACGTAATCAATTTAACTACGTAATGCAAACTGTGCTGCGATTGCCTACAAGTTACGGAGAAGGCGGCCGTCTTAAGTTGATTGTGAAATCACTCGTGCGACGTTATTACGTTATGAATTACGTTATCCCAAAAGATTCAACGCGAATAAACGCTTTACAAGTATGATGCGTTAAATACAGTTATAGCTGATGAAATACCTAGATAGATAACCTAG